ATACCTCCACTTTTAGTTGACTACAGTTGTTTAAACATCATTCATCCTTAACTATGCCAAAGATTTAATCCATAGCCACATGCTAGCATTTCATTTACTTGTTTATAAAATCCTCATATCCTGTTTTAGCTAAACACCCATAATATTTAATACCAAAAAATTCCATCCTCCATGTATATAGTTTATTATCATTCTTCCCATTACTTTTAAAAAGCGGCTAACCCAGTTGGTGGTTCTTTCTCTGTTCCGTGCCACCCCGTTCCCTTTCCACCCTCGCCCCGCAGATGACACCGAAGACGTGTGCATCGTGGAACGGCTCTTCTCCAGCAGCCTCGTCGCCATCGTCAGCCTCCGGGCGCCTCGCAAGCTGAAAGTCTGCCACTTCAAGAAAGGGACGGAGATCTGCAACTACAGCTACTCCAACACGATCCTGGCTGTCAAGCTGAACAGGCAGGTGAGTGGGGGTGAGCTCTGCTGGTGGCGCAGCAGTGAAAAATGCAGTATTGCAAGCTAACTCTGCTGGCTGCCAGCAGTTCGATCCTTTAAAAAATTTCTCACTTAGCCACATCAAATTTGGGCTCAGTCGTCGTCGTAATTCAAGGACTACCTGTATAAGCTTTCCCTTCCCTCTTTCCTCTTTCCTTTCCTCTTCCTTTTTCTCTTTCCTTTGCTTCCTCTCTTCCAAATTCCTCCCTCCCTTCCAAATTCCTCCTTCCCTTCTTTCCTAATTCCCTCCCTCCCTCCCTCCCTCCTTCCTTTCCTATGGTGGCACAGTGGTTAGAATGTATTGCAGGCTGACTCCGCCCACTGCCAGGAGTTTGATCCTGACCGGCTCAAGGTTGACTCAGCCTTCCGTCCTTCCGAGGTGGGTAAAATGAGGACCCAGATTGTTGGGGGCCAATAGGCTGGCTCCATAAACCAGCCTATTGTATAAGTTCTAAGTGCTATTGCTATTTGCTGAAAAGAGAATACAAAGAGAGATTTGTACTTTCAGGCTTGAAACATCCCGTTAATGTAGAATTAACTCATGTTTTGTTTTTATTGAAATAATGTTTAATTTTTAAAAAACAAACTTATACATACAGAACATAAAAACATCTTCCAGTTACATCCAGCATGTCAGTTGGTTACAAAACCTTTGTGAGTCCCCTTCGGGGAAAAGGGCGGCATATAAATGTAATAAATCCAAATCCTCTCCATAGTCCTCACTTGCAATTTATATAAAGTCTCATATTATCAATCTAACATATATGTATATATTATTATCATTATTAGTCTTTTATTTGACTATAACTATTATTCATTTTTGTACGAGATATTATAATCGTTGAACTAATTTAGATTTTAACAATTCATTACGTCCTTCTAAATCCATCCAATAATAGTACATCTTTATGTTATCTTCTGAATTAGCTCACGTTGAGCAGGGGGTTGGACTAGAAGACCTCCAAGGTCCTTTCCAAGCTCTATTCTGATTGATTGAATATAACTCTAGGAAGCAGTATACAGATAATCCTTGACTTACCCAAATTCATTTACTCACCGTTCAAAGTTACGACGGCACTGAAAAAAGCGACTTACGACGGTTTTTCACCCTTGGGAGTGTTGCAACATCCCCGTGGTCAGGTGATTTATATTAGGATGGTAATTGGTTCATATTTACGACGATTGCCGTCTTTCTGATCCCCTTTTCCGACCTCCTGACAAAAACCAAGTCCATGGGGGGCGGGGGAAGCAAGAGTCACTGAACAACGGCGTTACTTAATTTAATGTCTGCCGTGGTTTGTTTAGGAACCGTGGCAAGGGAAATCATAAACTGGGACAAAAGCTCACTTCGCCAATTTCTCTCGCCTAAAATTACGGAAGAAACTGATGGCTTTTGCAATGGAGCTCAGAAGGTTGACCCTATTCAAAGCCCTTTCTATAAGCACTGGCAGTGGGAACAATTAACCAGTGGAACCCCTTGGCTCATGAAGCTGTGCACACTCCATTAAACTGGAGGTTTTTGAAAAAAGAGCTCATTCCTTTTGTTTGGAATGGTGCACAATCTGCTCCATGAGCAGAGGGCTGGACTAGAAGACCTCCAAGGTCCCTTCCATCCCAATTATTTCGTGACCCGACAAATGTGCGCACGACAAAAGCGCGCCGACGAAACTGTGGTGCAAAAACCGCAACGTCATAAACACGCCCACAACAATGCGCCGACAAAAGCACGATTTAAGTTAAGATAAAGTTTAGGTTTAGGCTTAGGTTCAGGGTTAGGGTTAGGGTTATTAGGTTGTTATTAGTTCTTCGTTGAAGGCGTGCTTTTGTCGGCGCGCTGTTGTCGGTGCGCTTCTGCGCTCATTCATTGGTGCGATTTCGATCTCGCGGTTTTCTTGCCGCGGTTTCGTCTGTGCGCTTTTGTCGAGCGCGCATTTGTCGGTGAACCAATTATTTCACATTCTACATTCCATTGTTTGAGAGCGTGTTTTAGGACAGAGTTCCCCAACATGAATTGAGCAGAAATTCCAGCAACATAAATCTTGGGTTCAATCGTATTCGTAATTTGAGGACTACCTCTATAAGTGCTATTGCGATCTGCTTCTCTCTCTCCTTCTTCTTCTTTTATTTCGCTCCCCCAGAGATTGATCGTCTGCCTGGAAGAATCTCTGTACATACATAACATACGGGATATGAAAGTTCTGCACACCATCAGGGAGACGCCTCCTAATCCTGCGGGTAAAGATGCTCCTTACTCTCCTTCGATCCTCCTCTGACGCTGATACCTTTCGGCTTCCCGTTTTAGCTGGTTCTGTCCAAAAGAGCCGAGGTGGCGCAGTGGTTAAATGCAGCACTGCAGGCTACTTCAGCTGACTGCAGTTCAGCTGTTCAAATCTCACCGGCTCAGGGTTGACTCAGCCTTCCATCCTTCCGAGGTGGGTAAAATGAGGACCCGGATTGTTGTTGGGGGCGATATGCTGACTCTGTAAACCGCTTAGAGAGGGCTGAAAGCCCTATGAAGCGGTATATAAGTCTAACTGCTATTGCTATTGCTATTGTTCATCTAGTGTCAGGGGCGAAAGACCAGAACCACATAAGAAGTTGCAATTAAACCGATTAACTTCTCCTGATTCCCATGCAGGGAAATCCCTACCCAACTAGGTAAAGGTTAATGGCATTCAAGGAAGTCTTGGTCTTTTGTGGCTACGTAGAGATTCTAGACTGATTCCTCTTTTGACGCCCACCTCCAGATTCGATAAGTCCTACGTTAGTTGAGTTCATCTGATGTTTTGACATCGCCCAAGCTCGCTCTTGCTTAATTAGCACAAGGGGAAAAAATTCTTCCTCCGCCCCCCCAACAATTTGCCTCCTCGCAGAAAACAGCCTGGTCAACTTCATCACAGCGTGATTTAGCACGAGCGGCTGATTGGCGGCTAGATCTGCCTCCCGGAATACCACCTATCAGGCTGTTCCAGGCTGCGGGGATCACCACTGCCCATAGCCGCTGCCATCTATCTCCGCCGCCAGGTGCCACATTTTGGGCCTCTACGGGTCCCATTTTCAGCCCATTCCAGGCGGCGGGAATTCCCGCTGCCTGGAACAGCTGATAGGTGGTATTCCGGGAGGCTGATCCAACCGCCAATCGGCTGCTTGTGCTAAATCAAGCTGTGCTGAAACTGAAACAGGCTGTTTGCTGCCAGGAGGCAAATTGTTGGGAGGCAGAGCCCGAAGCGTGGGGGCGAGCAGGTGAATGGGGCTATGGCAGCATTCACTGTATAAGACGCACAGACATCTCCACCCATTTTTTTGGGGAGGGGGGGAGTGCATCTTATACTCCGAAAAATACAGTAATCTTGATTCTTTCGTGACGGTTTTGGGAAAGTGTTCCAATATCTCAGGGACTACCCCAAAGAAGAGGGAGTCAAGCTATTCTCCAAAGCACCTGAGGGCAGGACAAGAAGCAATGGGTGGAAACTAATCAAGGAGAGAAGCAACTTAGAACTAAGGAGAAAGTTCCTAACAGTTAGAACAATTAATCAGTGAAACAGAAATTGCCTCCAGAAGTTGCGAATTGCTCCAACACTGGAAGTCTTTAAGAAGATGTTGGATATGAAGTGGTGTAGGGTTTCCTGCCTAGGCAGGAGGTTGGTCTAGACCAGTGTTTCTCAACCTTGGCAACTTGAAGATGTCTGGACTTCAACTCCCAGAATTCCCCAGCCAGCAATTGCTGGCTGGGGAA